TGCACTAAGGCACCTAGTGGAAACTGTGATTTCCATGCTGCACCTAGCGGCCGCAATGGAGATGGAATAAACGGCATTACCGGTGCGGCTCATGAAGAAAGAGGTGACGCCGTCACCAGAGGCTCGTACGCACCCGTCAGCAGTCTAAATCCAGAGCGCTTGCTCGTGCTGCTCAGTGAGACTGTGGCCCCCCGGCGAGATGCCGATATGAGTGGCGTGCCCTCGGATGACTTGCAGGCAGCCGCAGGGACTAGCCATGCATGAGCCTCCTCGTCCGCATCGCCTTTTTGCCTCCTGGCGTTTCTCCAGGCGCCGGTGCCATGTTGAGTAGGTAGCAACGTTGGGCTGCTCAATATTTGATTTGATCCTTGGCTTTATTGGCCATCAGACGTTCCTAAAAAAAACATGTTGTAGCTGTGGATGCCTGCTTGTAGTAGCCCTGTTTATGCGGTGCCGCCATGTGGTTGTCTCACTTTTCTGGGAGCGGCAGGGAGGCAAACGAAGATTTGGTTCGAGGGCATGACCCTGTGCACATGTACTGCAGTGTGATGGCACTGGCAGTATGCAGGGTTGCTGCAGGCAGCGGACTAGCAGTGGTCAAACTCTACACGTACGAGTTTAGTAGACGGTTTGATGAGCGAGACATTGTTGGCGGCTGGGGAGCTGCATGTCTGTGTAATGGTGGTTAGTCTGCCCAGTTGGACAAGGCGGACTCCAGACTCCGCATCGGCTCATCCGCTACTGGTGTCTACGAGTACGGATACAATATCGAATCTTGCAGTCGATTGAGAAGGAAAGAGAAAGAAGAAGAAGACAAGAACAGAAGAAAAAAACAGGTATCGCATCAGGTATGTGGATCACTTACACGCGGTACTGTACTGTACATACTGTTGCTTTCATCATCCACCACGATCGATCAACCTGTTTGAAGATGCATGCTTGCGGTTTCGCCTCAAGTAAACTCCCATGATGGGATGTATGATGAATGGCGAGACAATCATCAGTCGATCTACAGTACGACCTGCTAACCCCGCTGACAAAGGCATGTTGGAAAGTTGGTTCGCGAACCTCCAGCCGCCGTCATCTCTCCCGAAACTTGGCCCTGGGATGGTGCGCAGACGGCGTTGCTCAGCTGAGGGCCGGTTTGCCACGATACTGCAAAGCCACCATTTAAAAGATAGTGGGCGGCATCTCATTGGATCCCGAAGCCGCCTTTCCCACTCGCCTTGTGTTGCTGCCGGTTTTACCAGATCCAATCAACCAACGCCTTGTTTGGCTCTAGTGCGTGCGGTTGCAAGAGAGGCACATCAGAAGTTGCTGGCCCCTTTCTCTGATATCGGGATCAGGCAGGGGGCAGGATAGGAACTGTGCCTCTTGGTAGATTTGGCCTCAGGCCACCAGAAGAAAAAATCAATCTTGATGTCACACTGATGGATTCGAGCCAGGGCCAATGCCATGTCGGAACCATCCTAAGCGGAAATATGCTCCGTGGACCCAGGCGAAAAGGGCTGGTAGGCAATCTATTGAAAGTGCACACATGGGCTCGTAACACTGCTAGCAGCTGTGCAGACTCCGTGCTAGTTGGTTCCAGCACCTTGTAAATAGCAACTGGGCCAAGTCGGGGGCCTGGAGGGATGGAGCATGTGAGCAAGTAGTGGCAGTCAATGGCAAATTACCTGGGTGGAGGTCAAGAGGTATAGGGTATCAAGTAGGTAGGTATGTCGGCGGCAGAGCGAAACATGGCTCCAAGTTTGGCATGAGTCTGTCTGGTATGAGATGAGTCCAGACAGAAATGGCCACTTGGTACGAGTACGAGTACATACATACATACACGTAATGAGTGGCACAAAGCCGCTGGAGTTGTCATGTTAAGCGCCTGCCTGTTTCACACACACAGTCTCTCTCCCTCTTCGAGACAGCATCGTAGCCCTGCATATCATCTTGGACATGCTTGCTGCACTCCGAGCCGGACGAAGAAGCTCGATCGAAAAAACCATGAAGCCATCGGCTATCAGTCCGTCCAGCGTGATGGATCGCCGTGCGGATCGCAATGCAAGGCAAGGCCAAAGACCCGTCCGTGTTCGCTGGCTGGCCAGGCCATGCCAGGGATCCGCAGCAAAGCCGAGAGCCCGTGCTCTGTCGTCCATGCAAGTAGACACACTCGCACCGCTGCCAACTTGGAGAGTGTCATGGTCTCACGGCAGGATGAGATCGGCGGATCCCAGCAGTGAAAGGATTCACATTCACGCCGAGTCGAAAAGCAAGCACAGGCCACGCAACAAGGACAAGGACAAGGACAGGCCCGGCTCCAGAGGCCAGATCCAGGTCTTGCGTTCCCAGGGATGCTATACCGAAGCCGGCTAGAAGCGGGCCATCCGCTGTGACATGGCGTATCGTAGAGAGAGAAGAGAATCCCGGTCGTGAGGCAGGGCGAATGTCGCAGAAGGAAGAAAAAAAAAGGGGACTGAGACGGGTTGATTCAGAGATGCAGAACAAAAACACCAGACCGCCTGTTTGTGCCGGACCGTACTGGGTACAATATGATACGTGCGGATAGCGGATTTATCGCACGGACCGTGGCTGTAGTCTGGACTTGCAGGCCTTAGCAGCGGAGAAACAGCGGCCGCAGACTGTGTACGTGGCCAGGCACGTGTACAAGTACCTCGTATCCCTTGCAGCAGTAGCGGGCCAATGACAGCGCCTGGACGGCCCGTCCTTGGCCCAGGGTTCTATCAAGATCTAGACAAACTCTATCGAGTCACGACGTGGACAAAGGCCTGGCGAGGATCGAATGACTACTGTAACGACAGCGAGAGCAGTGAATTGTGTGCTTGCTTGGGGGGGGCATCACGCGGCCGTTCATCTCCGAGACAAGAGGCCACCGAGAGGGAAAGGCAGCGCCGGGGATGATTTGAGGCCTTGCCGTGGGAAATGGATGGATGGGTGGACGAGAAATGATGGATGGATGGACAGACAGACAGATGGACGCAACGGCAGAGATGATGCAGCCCCCGAGAATAAACAACAGCAGCAACAAAAACAGCAACAGCCACAACAACAGCGGCAGCAAGTCAGTCACACACCCTTGCTCTCCCTCTTCTGCTCCAACTCCAACACAATCGAAACAAATCGAACCATCAGGGCCGTTCCATTGGACGGGCTTGGCCTCAACTTGATGATGGATGGACAAGACCAGCCGCCAGCCCTCCCTCCCTCCATCTCTGCCGCAAATGCTGCAGAGCAAAGCAAAGCAAAGCAAAGCAAAGCAAAGCAAAGCGTCGTGGAAATCAATCAATCTGCAGGCCGGTTGGTACCAACGGCGGCTGCCAAGTGCATCAGGTTGACTGCGCAATATCCCACTCTGCCTCTTGACGGCGCTTCCATTGGACGCCTCCTTCTTCAACCCCATATCATGGACGCAGCACGACCAAATGCAACCGCAACGGGGCCCGGAGAACAGCCTCACTGTTTGGCCTAGGGGTGGGCCCTTTGTGCCGTCGTGCCCTTGTCGACTCGAGATTGCTCCAACGGAAAACAAGGCTGGGGCCAAACACTGCATACTGTAGCTGATCCAAGCCAGAAGTCGGGTGGAGGACCTGCTGTGACTGTGGCGGGTGATTGGTCTGCTTTCTGCGTCTTTCAAAGTGCCTGGCATCACGTCCCCAATCAGACGACAACGCCACAGGCGGATGCAAGCCTCCGCTTTTGGCCAGCGCCCTGTGGTCCCTTCTCATCGGCTGAGCAGTTGGCTCATCTCTGCTGCGGGCGATATTGGCCACGTTTACTCCGTGCTCACACGGGCTCGGTTGCCGCTGGCCCTTCTGCCACTGCTGTAATGTGCGGCGCCGGGGTGTTTAGTCCAGCACGGCACAGGCAATATGGGTGGGCAACCGGCCGAGCGAGAGGACGAGGACGAGGACGAGGACGAGGACGAGTAGACGGCAAGGACGGTGGCGACACTTCTACGGCTCATGCTCGTTGTTACGGAGTACAGTGCATGCGCACTCCAGCCGACTCTGGCCACGCTCGCTTCCACGCAGACGACAGCCGTCGATGCTTATCCCCCTTTGGCTCTCGGCTTGCCTTGACATTCAACGGCGTCCACGTCCACGTCCACGTCCGCTAGACCGCCAGCGCAGAGGGACATCGTGATGCCAAAGCCGGCCGAGTTGTCGACCACATGGCGCCTAAGTATTATTAGCAGCTGCATTGCATTCCTCGGAATTGCCATTGGCCGAATCTTGCTGCGTTTCCCGCTCTCATTTGGCCAGGACAAACGCTGCACAGGTTGATCCGGAAACCTTCACACTCCTGAATCCTACTGTCTGACCGGCAGCGTCTGCACGCACACACAAACACTCCCGACGTGGCGATTCATACTGTGCTGGCAGAGCACTGCAGCGCCGTGCCAGGGTGTGGACTTGGGTCCGCATGCCACTCGACCAGTCACGTAGCAGCAGCCATCACCATCCATCTCCTGCATGACTCCTCAAGGCTGGCTTTGCTATTGGTTTGCGGTGGCCATCAATATCACCATCGATGGGGAATGCAATGCACAGATGCATTGTACCGGCGGGGACGGTACAGTGTCAACTGAATGCCACGCACCCACGGCTCGTCCACCTTTTCTTCACTCCTTGTTTTTCTTCCTGTCCATGCTGCCATGTTACCGTTTTGGTTGCAGGTGGCAGAGAGTGCTGCAATGCAGCTTTCCTACCCACTGAACTGATGCTGGCCCAATCTCTTACGACGCTATGCTGTCAACTTGAAATGGCCGCTTGCAGTCATTGATCTACACAAGCAGCCATCCCCCGCTCCAAGTGAGGTGGACGGTGAACTGGGCTGGGCTACGCGAGGTACAGGCAGTAGTAGCCTCTGTGTCAGAATGACTATTGATCGGAGCCAAAGCGATAGGCGGGCAGGCAGGCGGGCAGGCAGCATTGCTTCATGCATTTCGGTCTGGCTTGCTGCCTGTTACCCACCAGACGCCCTGGTGAGGGTCAGCGTGCTGTTGTGCGTGCGTACGTGCGAGCACGAGTAGGCAAAGACACCAAACAGAATGGAGAAGCCAAGTAAACGGGGCCCGGTCCAGTGAGCGAGCGCATTGACTGCTGCTGCCATTGCTCCAGCAGCCCGAAGTGGGAGCGAGCGAGACGAGTATCGACTACTCAACAGAAATCAGGTGCTAGCAGCGAGCAGCGGAGTACACCGGTACTACTACTAGGATTCACTCACCTCCCGTCTTCTTTTCATTATTCGCCTCCGCCACGGGCTCAGTGGCCTGACAAGATGAATCCGTCCCATTCCAGTGCGTTGTGCCGTACAGTACGTCTAGTCACACTCAGTTGGCCTGGGCGAGTCAAGCCTTTCCCCATTTACTTTCTCGCACTCACTCACAGAACGGAAATGTCATGCCAATCACGCGGCCGGCCATGACGCTTTTGCCAGGCAGTGAAGCGGGTGGGTGGTGGGAAAGCAACGCCAGCCAGTCAAGTCGACCTGTGCAAGTGGCACGGCCTGGTGGATGAGAAGGGTGTTGACCTGCTGTGGCCCGCCGCAGATCCGACGTCCTCGCCCCATTACGGCGGTTCAACCTTTGGACTGTGACACCGTCGAAGCCGACTGGATCGGGGGGCTGGAATCGCCTAGCTGTTTTCCTTTGGCCACCTTGTTGACGTTGTGTGTGGGACCAAGGGTCGCTAGTGCAAGCCGAGCAGAAGGGGGTGTGTTGTGTGAGGGAGGGCGAGCAAGCGGATGACACACAAGTCACAGCGAACCGCTTCATTTGGTGTGTCAGAGTATGCTCGCTCTCGTATATTGCTCAGCGTCGCGCTATGATCCCTGCCTCGTTAGTCTGGTGCCCACCTAAGGCTGTCGACGAACCTTGCAGCTGGTTAAGAATAGCTGGCACATTAGCCCCCCCCCCCTGGCCGCCTAAGACAACGCCCATGCCATTCATCTCTTCCAACAGGACCAGGGTCTGATGAGCTTTCCATCGGTGGGTCTCTTGGGTGTGGATGCTCCGCGCAATTCGCAGGGCCCCGAGACGAGAAGAAACGGGTACGTCTTGTTCTGGGGTCTGTACACTCGCCCGCCTCGCTCTCTAAGGTCTAGTCACAGATCCACGCCGTGGCCAAGGTCCGGTTTGATATCTACCTCTTGTTGCCCACTCTCGGCCGAGGGTCAATTACACGCATCACCACGTTCACGACATTCCTTCAACGCCCATCTTCCTCTCTCACCCTCAATTCAAGTTTTCTTTCTGGATTCCAGGACTCCAGGACCTCTCATACCATTCTTCCATTATTAGTCCCGGTACCCTCGACACCCCGAAGCCGTTGACAATTCAACGCCGTTCTTGACCCGTTCGTTCGGCCGTTCGAGAACTTTTTCTTTTGCTGTATGCGGCTGCTTCTGGTATCCCATTGGAACTTCGGCCTGTGATTTTATACGGGACCTCCACACGACAACTTCCAAAGGAAAACAAACCAAACCCAATCAACTCACTCCGCCCAAAGGATCCTCTTCTTTCTTTCGTTTTCCTTTATTCTTTTTTGTTAATCTAATCCTCTTTGCTCCTCCCATCTTCGGATCTGCTGGTACTTGACCTGAACCCTTGAGGACCACCAAACCTTTTGGAGAGCCCCCTACCAAGTCGCTTAACATGCAGCACCATGCCCCGTACGGTTATCCCACTCCCCCGGCCTCTCCCGCGTACGACAACCCCAAGTGCAACGTCCAACAGCCCTTTGCGACACGCACTTTCCAGCCCCGATGTTTGCCCCTTGCCCCAGAGCAGCGTTTAGGACGTCTTCTCGAGGGTAAGCTCCAGCTAACAGATATCCTTGGTACCGGCGCATACGGCGTCGTCTACACTGCCCTGGATATCAACACTGGAGCTCGGTATGCTGTCAAGTGCCTGAGCAAGTACAATGCCGACGGAACACCATTGGAACGCCGCCAGATTGCCTACCAGCAGCGAGAGATTCGCCTGCACTACCACGCATCGGCGCACCCCAACGTGGTATCCATGCTCAAGATTGTCGACGACCCTGACTGCATCTATGTTATTCTAGAGTACTGCCCTGAGGGTGATCTCTTCTTGAATATCACTGAGCGCGGCCAGTACGTTGGTAAGGATGAACTCTCCAAGAAGGTGTTCCTCCAGATCCTGGATGCCGTTGAGCACTGCCACAACTTGGGCATCTACCACCGGGACCTCAAGCCTGAGAACATCCTCGTCACCGAGAATGGAGAGACCGTCAAGCTGGCCGACTTTGGACTTGCTACCAGTGAGGACCGCTCCGAAGACTACGGATGCGGCTCAACCTTTTACATGAGCCCAGGTAAATACAAACAACCACACTCCACAATGAAGACGACAAAGATGCAATTGACTAACGGAAATCGACTTGGCAGAGTGCTTGGACCCTTCCGCGAGAAAGCCCTACTACATGTGTGCCCCCAATGATGTCTGGAGTCTGGGAGTCATCCTAGTGAACTTGACTTGCGGACGCAACCCATGGAAGCAGGCTTCCTTTCAAGACTCCACCTACCGCGCATATGTTCGCTCCCAGGACTTTCTCAAGACCATCCTCCCGTTGACTGATGAGCTCAATGACATTTTGGGCCGCATCTTCAACCCCAACCCCGAGCACCGGGTGACCCTCTCTGAGCTGCGTAACAGGATCATTGCTTGTTCCCAGTTCACCGTGCCAGCAGTGCCCACCATGACCCTGCCCACGCCCACCTCTACCCAAGACCAATACGTTTCCAACGAGGACGCCATAGTCGACGACTATGACTGCGACTCGCCCCTCTCGCCTGTTTCGACGTCGTCCAATGAAGGCTCGCTCATCTCGAGCGTGTCGACGCTTGATGACTTTGACAACGATGATGAGGACGAAGACTTCATGGCAGACCAGCAGGACTTGCCTCGGGAGTACATGCCCCAAACCTACGAACCAGAGGAATTTTGCGAGCAGCAGCATCAGCCCGTGTATCACGGGCACGAGTTTGTCCCACAGCAGTACACTGGCCCCGTACCCGTCCCTGTTCTGCATGCTCCCATTGTTCCCGTTCCTGTGGTGGCAGCGCCCATACAGCATCATCATCTGCCCTGCCAGCAAGTCCCGGTTCCTATCCAGGCACCCATTCCTGTGCAGCCTGTTTGCCAACCCAAATCCTTCTTCCCTCTCTGGGAAATGGTCAAATACGTTCAGCAGGTGCCAATGATGCAGCACCCTGTGCCCTTCCACCAACAGGTGTCTTTCTTATCATCCCTCCCTGGCTGTTACTAAAAGACCCAACACTCCGGGGAGGCCAAGTCGACATTGTAATACCTGTTGACCTCGTCACTTGAAAAACTTTTTTTCTTTATCATCTTTGGCTTCATTGAACATAATGTTACCGCTACCTTTTCATCGGCCTCCACAAACCCCAAGGCTTGAAGCCAAAGAGCCGATCTTACATCTTTTTTTAATGCTATACGCATCCGGAACAAAAACGGGAAAAAAAAGGCGTCTTGACAATTATTACAGCGACAAAATTGGACACTTCATTTTGGAGTGTCAAAAGCCTAATATTCGATTCACAACTTGTATCTATCCAACTTTTTTTTTTTCCTTTTTTCTTTTTACGATTCGCCTTTGCCGCACTGGATCTTTCCTTTCTAGCGGGGAGTTTTTTTGTTCCTCTTTTTTCTTAATCTATAGGATGAGGAGTTTGGGAAGCGTGTCCTTCGTATCAGAGGCATCAGTACCGGCGCAAAGAAATTGTGTATGGAGGAGAGAAGACCGCATACAACGCAGTGGCTTTTTGCTTTGTTTTGGGAGAAATGAAAGACGGGGAGTTTTTTGCGATTTTTTTTGATGGAAATGAGAAGGAAACGACGCTTGACGAAAAAACCACACCCTGATTATGAGAAGGCTCACCTTTTGAAGCTGGATCTACGCATTCATTCGTTACTGGGACGGCGAAGGAACAATTTCCAGTTGTCTTTTTTTCTACTTTTTTTTTTTGTTTTACGGTGGATTTGGGAAAGACTTTTTTGGGGGGATGGGAGAATTGTAAGACTCGGCTCCTGATTTTTGGTGTTCTGTTTGTGAGAGATCACACAAAGATAGAAGATTTTGGGCTCAATAGCCCTTCGCGGACCTGCTAAAATTGCTGCCGCAACCACGTTTTAACTAAGAAGAGAGGAAGGCCGGCTTTCTAAGCCACTGCCTTCAAAACCAAATATACGTTTTATCTGACATGATTTACATATTTTTCCAACTCTTTGTGTGATTTGACCTCATTCTTAGGCGATGTTTACATTCAAAGTGAGTACCCCCCTCGTATGCAGTCTTCTGCTGCTCCGTACATGCACTCAGACGGCAATGGTCTGGGAGAACTGACTACCTGAAACGGGGACAAGATACTAGCTAGCCATGGGTGGCATCTTGAATGACGCTGAGCATCGACGATGAAGCGAACGATGGGCAGCCAATGTCACTCACCACCTGAACCCAACGCCAACCTACCGTGACACTCTCGAATTGGGTAACATGTGGTGCCAACGCCAGCGAGCCAGTTCATCCCCTGAGCTAGTGGCCGCAGGTTCCGGGACCCAGTCACAGATTGACAAGATAAAAGTACAGCGTAGAGAAAGAGAGAAAAAGAACGCGCCATTTTTGGAGTAAGGCAAGGGGGTGAGAGGAGCAAAAACACGCATTAGTCGACTTCTTTTTTTCCCATCAGTTTCTCATGGGTCCTCTATCGGTACTCTTACGGGCTGGAGACTGGGGACTGTGTGTGTGTAGTGCTCATGGAGATGGAAGTAGTGGGGAACGGAGCGAGTGTGTGTGTGTGTGTGTGTGTGTTTGATTCTAATCGTGGACTTTGCGTGGCGCCAGTCTATTCTTTCTCATTCCATCTCCAGTCCGTTTGGAAGAGATGGAAGATGTGGATGACGCCAAGGGCAGCGAAGCTACGATAGACGAATACTAGCGCATCCCCATTGATTGTGGAGGCTGACGGGATTCTAGGTGGCCTTTGTTTTGGAGAACGTGACAGTTGGTGGATGGGGGGGCCATTGCCACTAGCAGGTCCTTGTCTTGAAGCAAATGCTCGTAGGGGGGAAAAGGGCAAAAAGAGGAGAAGCCCAAGGGTTAGGTAGGAAAGGCAGAAATTTGGCTTTGTCGGTTCTTCTTGGCTCGATGTGACGCTGTGGGGTGGGAGGAGCCGAAGCTGGGACATGGATTGGGTGGTGAACAGGACACTTGGACGAGGCGGGATAGTCGGGGAGAGTGAGTGGGATGAGATGGGCTACTATTCGAGGAGATTGCAGACGATGATGATGATGTGAGCGAGGAGCCAATGGCTTGGTTGCTTTGGATAGGCGTCGATGCGTGTGGAGATTGGGGCCAAGCAGCTTTTTGATATCCGGGCAGTGTTGGATGGATCATGGAAAAGAAGAGGGGGTCTCGACGTGTGAGGGAAGAGCTTCTACTGGTTAGTTGGACGGGAGCGGCCTGTTTCGGGCATAGACTTGGAGAAAAGCTGCTTTGATGCTTGATGAGGTGGTGTGGTGAGGTGGTATTCTTTGCTGCAGGCAGGGGTTGGGAAGAATGCAGACGAGCAATCAACGACGAGCTTGTTTCGTACTGTACAGTACTAGCCATCAGGTAGCGTCGATGCAGGAAACGAATGGGATTGGAGCAAACGGGCTTGCAGGAAGCGAGGCAGAGAGAGGACGGAGATTGGGAAGAAGCTTTGCCCATCCAAGACTAAAGGGAGAGAGTG